TTTTCCTAGCCCTTTGCACTAAGCATCGAACTAGATTTCGCTTCTGTTGAGGGAGTACGAAATTGTTAAAATTCATGTACTGTCCGGATCAGGTTTTCTTTCGATACACCCCCCTTCGGACGATACCGTTAGGTATGCGATTTAGGAGGACATCCAAGAACGGAAGCGAACCTGCCTTTTCTACCTCCAGCGTGAACTTATTTGATGGATGTGCTCTATTGACCTCATTTAAGAGTGCGTCTACGCCAGTTTCCGTTGCGGCGATCGCGAGGATGTCATCAACGTAGCGACCATAGTGTTTTAACTTGTGGATCTGCTCACTAAGTTGAAATTTCTCCAGCTTGCCCATGAATATGTCAGCTAGAAGATGTTCAAAAGGCGAGCCCATGGCAACGCCGTCCATTTGTTTGTATAGTTGGCCGGCAAAAAGGAACTGCACGTTTAATGTGCATTTAAGTAATAGTTCATTCGGTGCATTTGTCGGTATTCCTGTTTCCAGCTGATGTGTTACTAGGTATTCGCAAATGTAATCTAATCTTTCGGGAACCGGGACGTTTGTAAACGGTGATGGGACGTCTAGAGAGAGCATCCTCAGGCCACTTAGATTTACGTCTTTGACGTCGTCGATAAATGCGAACATGTCTCGATAAGTATGTGGTGCCAGCTGAAGCCGTAAAGGTTTGAGTTTCTCCGCTAACCACTTCGCTATCGCATGGTATGATGAGTTGCAAATGTACATAATCAGACGAACTTGCAGATCATTCTTATGGATTTCTGGTAGACCATACAAACGGTGGATGTGAGTGCCTACTGGTTGATTAGTTCTCTCAGGGACGGCAGTCATAGTGGATCAGCTGACACCCATCACGTGCTTAAACTTAACTGTATGAGTCCGCGATTACCTTCTGAATAATTTTTACAGCATTGAAGTCGATATCCTTTTCTATGCATGCATTGGATGAGTACTAAGCTACTGTATGTTAAGCAACAAGTCTTGGCTTCATTTAAACGTTAGATGAATTATTTAAGACTACATATTCAGCAATAATGTTTGTGTATTCCTCAAACAACAACAAACGTTGTGCACAATTGAAAAGTAGAAGATGCGATCGCTGGGATAAGACTGTTGTTCGACTGACGTTTTGACATCCCTCACGGTTTCTTCATCTAAGTCATCAGCAAAAACAATACCAACAACCGGTCACAATGTACAGGACACCGTTAATAGGACTGTACAGGTCAGAACACAGTGTTTCTTTTCATTTCATCATCCCCGGAAGAGGAAGAAGAGGGGACGATTTCTGGGACCAAATTTTATTTTACCTGACGTTTCAAAAGCCTTCTC